CCCCAAAACCCCAAAACCCCAAAACCCCAAAACCCCACTGGAATATAGCATATTTGAGAATTATATTATTACTATAAAAATATTAAATTATTTGAACAATGAGGAACATCAATGAATACCTCCTGATGATTATAGGAAATTTTCTCGAAATCAGGGATATCCTTAAACTCTCAGCTACCTGAAAGAAAGCCAATCATGTATTTAGGGACTACTTTGAGTTATATAAGAGAGAATGTAAGAGACGCTATATAAACCCATGCAACTGCTTTAAGAATCAGCTAATGTCGAATAAATCAGACTCTAAAGATGTAAATAACGCTCATGATCCAGGATTTTTATGAAAGGACGACACCACCAAGGTGTGGAAGGACCTAATCCTCGAAGGGCTCTCACTGGAGCATTCTTGGAGCAAGGGAAACTACCTGACAACTCACTTTGATCCAGAGATAATAAAATATTTAGGTGAAGCTCTGATTGGTATTTTAAGAACTCCAGATCTGACAGTGCCAGCCTTGATAAAACATGATCCAAATGTTGACCTGCACTCTGTGTACTCCCAATACCTTTATGAGTACCTTTTTAGGATGAATGACGTCTATTGAGGGAAAAGGCCAGCTGCCGCATTTACTTTTTTGTCAGAAAAAGAGGACTTCATTCAAAAATCATTCTTAAATTTAAAAGAATTATCGAAGAAAGATTACTACGATTCTCTTGCGTATGAGATTAAGTCTCTGGACGAGACCCAGATTTTCTTTAATTTGAGGTGGTATTGTTCCAGCCCAAAATTTAGTTCTTTCTCAACTGAATCCTCATATGCATCAACACAGTTCACGACCCAGCTATCCGAAGTGATTGGCGCCAAGGAGGTAAAGTCTGAGTTGGCCTCCTTGCTTCTTCTGATCCATGAGACTATGACCTTCCACTGCAAACTCACCTACGAGATGATTGCTGAAGTGGAGGACCAATTCAGATTCTTGCAAGAATACAACAAGAGGTGGAATGCTTTCGTTGCAAGCATGGTGAAGCTCGATGAAATGCTAATTCCCTTGAACATAACGGTCAGCATGGTTTACAGGAAACTCTTCCCTGGATTTGAGTTCTGCCCCCAGTTCTCTTTCCTTAGGTTCTTTCTCTCTATATGGCGTAGAGAAGTCTACAACAATTTAAAAGACACCATCGAAGATTACATAGTGCTCATTCTGAAAAAATTTCACAAGGATTGTTTGATCTACTGCCAGGAGGAGAAAACAATCAGGAAAGAAAAGAAATGCAATAGGACTTCTCTTTCTGACTATTTCAGCAAGAGCCAGAGAGGTTCAGAAACTGGTGAGGGGTTCAAATCCATGCTCAACCCAAGGCTTTCTGAGATTAATGTAAAGGCGAAAGACCTCAAAAGCAGCTTCTGCGATGCAAAAATGGATAACCAAGATGAAGAGCTTAGCTATCTTCTTGATATAGATATGATGTATGGCAAGGAGTATGACTCCAATATCCCTAGCATCGGAAGAGAGGGAAAGGAGTGCTTCAAACAAACCATCATTGACGTTATGGATCTGAGCATGAATGAGTTCTCAATGCACTACATTCTTCACTCAGAGAATGAGTACATGACCCCTTTCACAGATTTAAAAAAGAGAATTGAGGAAGAGCTTTTCAAATTCTATAAAACATCGTGTCAAAAGATTCCATTCAAATTATGGAGTGAAATCATTGAAGAGCACTCCATAATTTTGTCAGACATCCTGCCAGTGTCTCTCTTGAAAGAACTGAACAAGCACAAGTTCAGCTTTGTCAAGAAATACACTAAGAATAGGATAAAGGTGCAGCTAGAAAAATATTCGAAAGCTACCAAAAAGCTGAAAAAGACGGAGGAGAATGCAAAGATGATTGTAATGAACGCTCATTCTGACAACCATGAAGGAACTGTTCTCAACAGGGAAGCCTACCTGGAATCTACTGTCGCAGAATTCTTGGACACTCCTTTCCATCAATATTTGGTTTCTTGACTAAAAAGTCGGAGTAACAAGAGCACTATCCTCTCTCTCTTAGCTCACATTAAGGAGAATGAAGTGGATATTATGAATGTCTACAATGAACATTTTCGGGTGAACGCCAAGTTCGAGTCCACTCTGAAGTCCAAGAATAACAGGATCCAGAGATATAAGGAGCCAAGAGGGTTCCCACTGAATCTTCCAGCCAGTGAGAGTGCTCTATACTCCATGGATCACGACATCACCCTCCAGCTTCTAGAAAAATTCAGGACCGAGAAGGAATTTGAGATGAAACAAAATCTCCACAACAAGGAAGAAGACGAGCACTGTCTTGATAATAGCTTTGGTGCAGACAGTTGTGAAGACGACATGCCATTCGATTTTGATCTCACTCGAGAAAGGTGCTCGAACACTGAGAAAAGAACATTCAAATTTGAGCCACTCTCCACGTTGAACTTGGTGAAAGGCAGCAAAGAAGTCGATATTGACATGGATATCGAAGAAGCAAAGACTGAGAGGGAGAATGTACGAGAGGAAAATAAGAATAATTTCGGAAGCATCAGTTCTCTTTTCAAATCTTCCAATGCTGTTGACCAGACACAACACCTCAGTCCTTTTGATAGTTGTGAGTCCGAAGGACTCAGGCTTCAAAGAACGAGTAATATATCTTGAACAGCAACCTTGCCTGACAACCAAATGTTAAGATTCTCAGACCTTGAGAATATGGACGACGAATTTGACATGAACGATATCCCAGAGAGTCTCAGTTTCAAAAGATGATAGACACTGGGCGTAAACAAAGTGCCTAACTTTAAGTTTTATGTTAAGTTCTTAGCATAAAGAATTCTTCAATGGGAGGCACTCTAAGAAACTCTCTTGCAGAGACCAAGAATAAATTGTATTCCTAATAATTATATAATTTAAGGGTAATCAATCATTCTTGGCCAATTAGGGGTTTTGGGGTTTTGGGGTTTTGGGGTTTTGGGG